CAGCAGAGAGCGGGACCGGCGCTCGGCCCTGGCTCCGCCCGCGGCCGCCGAGCCCCGCCCACCGTGAGGCCCCACGGGCAAGGGGCGGGGCTTCCTCGTGCGCCTGCGCCCGGTTCAGCTGTGGCGCGCCTGTGAGGTGTGGGCTGCGCCGCTTGGGGACGGGCCCAGGGAGCGGCTGGTGCGGGGTGGATCCCGGTATGGAACAGGGGACGGAATTGCCCAGCTCTGGGCTCCCCACGGGTCCCGTGCTGAAGCCCTGCTTCATCCAGAGGGGCAAGTTGGCAGGAGTCCTGGCGAGGAGGTGCAGGGTAGTGAGGGAGGCAGGGAACCCCGTGGCGAGGGAAACGGGGCCCACATGGGGCACCCGCCTGTGGCTGGGCAGCGAGGCCTGACCTGTTTGGCCTAATGAAGTGGATCAGCTGTGGTGGGACATGTCCCATCACAGCTGATTCCACATCTCTTTCCAGTGTAAGGTCCTATCTAGTCTGCAGTGGTAGTGTGCCTTGCCTGCGCTGCCCCCAATTACAGCCTATCCACAGTGCCTGTCTGTGGGCTTCAAACTGAGAGACGTGTTGGTGAGGCAACTCTAGGGCCATCGCCTGTGGCTCCTTGAAGAACAGAGATCAAGATATTGAGAGCAGCAAGAAGGATGCTGCAAAGTGGCTGCACCAGTGTACTTTTCTGAGTGGAGAGTATCAGCGGGGCAGGTTCAGGAATGACCTGGCTGAGGGGCCAAGGAATGCTGTAAGTTTGTGTGACCCCATTCTGTCCTGCTCAAGGTCCCAAAACTACTAACTTGCCTAGTTCTGTTATGTGACTTCATCTTAGCCTCAAAGTGTAGCCATGAAAAGCAGTGAGGAGGACCCGCCTATTTTGTGCATTAGTAGTTCCACGAGCTCCAGCAGGATGAAATAAGATTGCATTTAGACATGGATATCTAAGTAGCAATTAGACCTGAAGAAGGGTACAGAGGTATGCAGAAGCTTGCCTGTGTCCCTGTCAGATATGCAGTTGGCCCAGTAAAAGATATCACCCACAAAAATCCTTAGTCAAGTGCCACTTAAGCATCTAAAAGATAGAATAGGATCTTGCCTTTAATCTTGTACCTCTAACCCCATCTGTAAAATAAAATTTCTGTTTTATCTGTTAATTCAAGTGGTTTCCAAACTTGTCTGCAGGCCTTTAGGATAGTACAAGGGTGCAGATTTCCCTGAAAAGAAACATGGGACAAGATCTCGCTACTAATGATCATTGCATTTAATCAGGGAGTCATTACAGGGGAGATTTATGCCAAATGCAATTTGTTTAGGTAACCATTAACTCCATCTTTGTGTTTCTTTTTTTGTTCCCAAGGCAAAGCACTGTCTTGGGCAAAATATCTTAAAAAATATTCATGTGAAATGCTGGGCTGTAATTAGGCTTAATGAAATTTAGTCAAAGCCTTTGTCTTTCAAGACAATATAGCATATTTTATCATACCAGACAAGAATTACTATGAAAGGTCAAAAGCTTATCACAAAATCTGCCATTCCCCTTTTTTATTTTATAAAGACCTGCATACAAGTTCTAAATAATCATAACTGTGATGCAGCTTAATCAAACGGTAGCAAATATCTTCCATTCATTGGCTAAGGAGAAGGACAAGGTTAGATTTCTCTTTCAAAACCAGAGGATTTTTTTAATATGAAAGCAAGTAACAAGTGTAATTTTGTTCTCAGATACATAGTGTATGGAGCCATATTAATTGGCAGATCTGTGACAGTACATGGCAACTAAGTAGGAAGAAGCCTGGGACCTGGATTATTGGATGAAACACATCACCCATTGTTGCGCATTGGGCAGGGGCCTGATTAGGGACAATGGACAACATATGCCTGTTGCCCAGGTATTCCTGACATCCGTTGACAACCTATGCCTCTGGGTGGTGCAGGTCTGTGCAGGGCAGCCTTGGACCTGGGGAATCCCAGATGCCTTGTGTCTTCATGCTGGGACCTGTGTTGACCCATGCCTCTGAGGGCACAGGTTGGCATAGGTCCCAGTGTGAAGTCTTGGGGCCTCACTGGGGTGGAGTCCAATAAGCAGGTTCCAACATGGAAGTACAGGGCAGTGCAGGACCTGGGAAATTCCTGGAATCCCATGCCTCTGTTCTGGGACCTGTGCTGGGTCTGCACCAACCTGTGCTTCATGTGGAGACACAGGGCACCAGGGATTCCCTGAGTCCTACACTGCCAATGCCTCCTTGCCAGGACCAGCACTGACCCATGCCTCCATGTGAAGCACAGCTGGCACAGATCCCAGCATGAAGACTTGGGGCCTCACAGGGTGGGTGTCCATAAGTGGGGAACCCCAACTTTTTCTGCTTACAGAGAGGCACCCTGGGGTTTGCCTGGGCAACAGAGGTAGGCAGGTGGTCTCAGAGCTTGATGGGTTCAATCCTGCGTAGAAATTCCTGTGATGTGCAGGATTTGGCCTCTCACCCCTGAAGTAGCTGCTCAGGGCATCTAGGAAGTACACTCCCCTGCCACAGAGCAAATAGACATCTGCTGCAATAAAGTGGCGCTGTTTTACACTACCTTTTGTTGTGGTCACTGATGTGACGTGACAAAGGATAGGGATGTCTATTTGCTTACTATTTGTGCCCTCATAAAAATGTTTCTACTTTTATATCCAGAATATAGCATGCATAGCTGTGAAGTATTTTCCACAGCAGATTTGGCTTGGTATTTTTTAGAGTTGCATTATTTTTATTATTTGCACATTTAAAAACAGTCCTCCCTAATTGTTT